GATGCCAAACGCAATAAGCGAGTACGTTTCTCAGCGTAGTCGTTAGGTAGATTTTTGACTAATACAATACCGAGGCAATGTGAATGGGTTCCAAATGCTTCCTATAAAATAAAAACGCAACGCAACTTATTAATTTAAATATTATTATTTTTAATATATTATTGATGCTCACTTCAATAGCATCTGAGACGTTAACATTTGTCAAAAGATCATTATAATCGAGAATAACGGCTCCTTCGGAACTTTTTTCGATGTTCATTTTGATTAAGCGACATTTCATCTTGATGCGATTTTTTTTTTAAATACATAGTTCACTCATATTGTGGTATGGATTAGGGCTAGTGCAAATTTGCAATTGCAAAATCTGCTCATAAACCTGACATTTATTGCATTGCAGGTATTTTGTATATCAGGACTGACTTTGCATATCTAACGCCAATAGTGCATAACGATAATCTGTTGTAATAGATTAGGGTAAAACCTGTGTTAAATTCTACGTAGCAGGGCGTCGTGTTAACGTGAAGTTCACTTTTACTTTACGTGATTTTTGTAGTGGGTTTAGCTAGAATCTATTGCAGGTTTCACCCTATTGTATTGTAGTTTTTCTCATAACTAAAGAACTAAATCTTTATGATAGCGATAGTCAACATGTTTTAAAACTATGTGCTAACCAAAAATAAGTAACAATTTGAGATAATAAATGAACAAAAAAAATTCGTACAGCATAAAATACTTATCATTAAAATGTCCAAAAATTTCTTGATATCATGATATCTACATATAATAAGTTCTGTAAAGTGATCACATATTTCTATTTATATAAACTCACATTTCTATCTAATTCGCATATTTTTAAAAAACTTTTAGCGATAATTTCCCGATAACCACTAAACCAAATTTGTTATTTTAATTCTACGAAACTATAGAATTAAAATAAAAAATTTTTTACCGAATTTGATAAAGCAGTTATTGAGAAATCATCGCTAGAAGTTTTAAAAAGTTTTCGAATTTATTAATAGGATCTTCAAATTGTCCGGCTATCATTTGACGCTTCATAGAAGGACTTTCGTCTGATTGGCTGATGTAAATCAATTGCCCGGGTAACTAATTTATACAGTTTAAAGTACTTTTTCAAATTGCAATGAAACCCGATTTTTTTTTTTTATAATTAGGTTTAGAAGAGTATTGCCCTTCGCTATACAAAATAATCCCAAAATAATCTCAAAAACAGAGGAACGAAGTTACTATGTGTATTATTACATTTTGCAATGAGTAAAACGGGTATACAAGTACTGATTGCAAAAAATAGTCAAGTAAAAAGAACAATCAAGGTGTTTAAAGTAAAGCTAGATTTCGAAAATAGACTCTCACAAACTATATATTAATTTATCGTATTTAGGTTTGATTACTTCTTTTAATAAAACTTTAATACTTATATTACTTTATTCTTGTGTAGAACTTAATAAATAGATAGATATCATACGTATGGCTTTAGAATAGATAATACGTGTAATATTGATTAATAATATAAAGACGGTAATGCAATGGTTGTAATAACTTAAAAATAGAATTATTATTTAAGAATTTACGTGAATTAGTTTTCTTTTAATAGATACAAATATATTTTATTTTGAGATAATTGAGTTTAATTATTTGTTTTGATTTTCGGACTGATCCGGGATTAATCAAATTTCACGATTTTGATTGGTTAAAGAAAGAAAGTGACTATCGAGTAATCTCGTGACGTATTGGCCAAACGCAGCCTCATATAATTTTTCTTTTACATTATCTTGATTTTTTATTATGCAAATCGACTTTCATTTATAATTGAAAAATGTCAGTCATATCAAAATTTATATGAATCTAATAAAAACTCGATTTTCAAAAAATTGTAAAAATGGGTCCTTTTAACTAGGGACACCCCATATAATTTATTAATATTATCATTATAGATGTTTTATATATATACGATATATATTAAAATTGCTAAGTTTATTAGAATAATAGCTGTATAATGTAGAATAGTATAGTATAAGACATCAGAGGACATCTATATTTAATGTTAAATGATATTTGTAGTACCAAATATGTATATGCATATTACTATGTCTTATATAATATTGTGAAAAATAAAGATTTTGAAAATAATATTGATACAAACATACTTATGTTTTGTATCAATTTACAATCTATGACCAGTAAAAGTTTTAAATATCATATATTATATAGATAGTAATATTCACAATTTAAAAAATTTAAAAATAAGAAATTATATATATGCATATATCACTTAATTGTTTTTTTTCTATATTCTACTTGCCTTTAATTTTGCTTTTAAGATCTGATCTTACAATTTAGTAAACTAGTATACTTTATATTAGAGATAGGCAAAGTAATTTTGTAAGTAATAATAATCTATAACTTATCTCTTACTTAATATTTAGTAATATTAAATAATTATTATATTTAATTATCTATTACATATATATATAAAAGATATGATAAAAGTTAGAGATAGTGATCAAAATTGAGATTGAACGAAAAAGTGTTAGGGGTATGCCATTTATCACATAATATTTTTTACTTAGTAGCCATTCCCATCTATGTATGGTGTGATCACCCCTAGCTTAATTCTGATTGGCCGATTTAATTAATTATTAAAAATCTTCTTAATATAGGGTTGAGTCACAAAAATACTATTCCTGATGGATCAGCAATACCGATCTTGATGAAGTTAAAAAAAAATTTATTTGAGTACTGTTCCTGATAGGGTTCTAAAAACGAACCCTAATCCTAACTTATTTTCATTATATAGATTATATAGTATAGTATTTTGGAGGCATTTTTTTAGAACCCTATCAGGAACGGTAT